GCGTATTTGGATTTTAATTTCATCTATAAATGACAAAGTTACAAGCGTTCACAACCTAATACTATTTCACCACACATATTTTTTGATTTGCACCCCAGTATAGTCGACAAAGACGTAGTTCTACGTCAAAAGACAGGTAAAGATTGCTGTAAGGGCAGCCGAGCAGAGCGGTGGCATGTTTTGGCGTGTGATGATTTGAAAAATTAGGTTTTCGCATACATTTGTTACGATATTGTTACCCGGTGATCGGATTTTATTTATATCGGATTAATTCATAATTTGTTTGTTTTTTTTGCAAACGTTTTGTTCCGGAACTGGTACTGCAATAGTGCTTTGTGTGCTGCTCTCACATTCTCTTTTGTGATCCGGTATAACCTTGCTTACGGTTGGTCTATTGTTTGATTCGATGAGCTAGTTTTCAGTCTAAGCGAGTGTGGTGTGTTCGAAGAAGAAAAGATATCGAAAATACATTCGTCCTTGCAGTTTTTGAGCGGGCGGGATTGAAGGTGATATGGAAGAAGTGTTGATCATGTCGTACAGAGGGTGTGCGTGGAAGCTTCTGTCTAGATCGCCATCGGACGCTGATCATGAGCTGATTTGTTTAGTGCGTTCCAGTTAGAGGTTCTTTTATGATTGTTGTTTTCATTGCTGTTGATTCACGTTTATTACGTTTGGTGTGTTGCTCGGATTACGGTAGGGTGCGAGCACAGAACAGAAGGGGAAGTGCAAACAAATCGGTGAATCAAAAAGTGCTCGTTTTTCTGCTCAACGAGCGATGTGATGTGGTAGCGTTCCACATAGGCTTTCTATGTGCACTCACACTATCATAGCATGCTGCCTATCTTAACTGCAGGCCGAAGATGCCTTCTACCGCTAGGTGCGCTAGTGTTCGCAAATGACCAGTGGAGCCACTTTCTGATCTGAAGTTCCACTCCTGTGGTGCGAGCGTTAAAATTTTGTTAGTGTTTAAGCATGATTCGTTTTGGGGGAGACGATGAATGTCGCGATCGCGACCGCGAATCTATTTTCTTGTAGATTAAAGTGATTTTTAGCCTGAGGCTAGTTCATCACTAATCGAGAATGTAGGCTTAGCTTTTACCAATTATATTTTAATGTGACATTAACATCCTCCCAAACACGATCATAAGGGCCATGGTGGAAAAGTGACGGTTGTCATTGCAAGTCGTGTTTGTTTATTTATGAACAGCAGCTCACTTAAGCGTTCGTGAAATATTAAGGCGAATATTATTTGTAAAATACGTAGCCCAAGAGCATTTGTGCCTAGGTTTGTGGCCGACATGGTGTTTTTTTTATATATCTTCTTCTTCTTATTCGCATTTCAAGCATATTAGCTTATTGCGTGCTCTCAACTTAGTGTCCTAAATGCACTTCCACAGTTATTAATTGAGAGCTTTCGATGCCAATACCAATGCATGAATTTGTATATTGTGGGGCAAGCACAATGATACTCTATGCCCAGGGAAGTCGAGAAAATTTTCAACCCGAAAGATTCCCTCGACCGGACCGGGAATCAAACCCGCCGCCTCCGGCTTGGTAATACCGTGCCTTTATTGTTTTTATATATCTTTTTAGGAAATTAGCCAGGTCGTGGCGCAAGGTCGCTGTTGTTCGGTGAATTGAAAGGTGATTTTTTAAACGCAAAAAAGTTCGGTTCAGATTGCTTAAAAGTTGTGCAGTATTAGTTCCGAAATGCTCGATCCTGATCGAAAATTGTATAATAGTCGTATACAATCGCTAGTGAGATAGTATTCGGTTGAAAGTCCCCCAAGGCTCTCAATTGGGACATCTTCTTTTTATTCTGTATGTAAACGACATTTCCTTCATTCTCAAAAAATAAAATTGCTAATCTATGCCGACGACATGAAGCTCTTTTTGGAGATAAGAAATGATGAAAACAACAATATATTCCAAAGTGAATTACACATAAAAAAGCCTATTAGATCTGAACGTAAAAATATGCAACTTAATATCATTTAGCAGAAAAAGAAAACCATCAAACATTTCAATTGCATTAGAAAATCAGAATGTAGAAATTTAATTTTTAATGATTATCTTATACTCCAAACTAACTTACTTAGACCATTACAATACAATAATTCACAGGGCAAATAACATGCTAGGCTTTATCAAACGCTTTTGCTATAACTTTCAGGACCCATACACAATTAAAACACTATATATTGAATCCTGATGAATGTGGGCGTCTTAGTGGAATACCTGTATAATGAGAGAGAGAAGGATTAGTATTTTCCATTTAATTCCACTACTTTATTTGCTTATCCTTGACAAGTGTCAAGGATAAGCAAATAAAGTAGTGGAATTAAATGGAAAATACTAATCCTTCTCTCTCTCATTATACTATATATTGCCTATGTGAGATCAATACTTGAATATTGCAGCATTGCATGGTCTCAATTTTCAATCACGCACGAAGAAAGATTAGAATCAGTACAAAAGCTATTTATATTACATTCATTACATCATTTCAAACATACAAACATTAAAAGAGCGACGTGAATATGCAATGGTTTCGTTTGTAAACGATATCGTTTTGCAGCGCCTTAACTCAGCAGAACTTTTATCAAAATCAAAATTTTATGCACCTACTCGACAACTCAGAAATCGAAATTTATTTGCCATAACCCATCATCGCACAAATTATGCAAAATTTGGGCCATTAAATCGCATGATGGCGTCTTACAGTCGGTACTGCTTGACTTTTCAATGTCTCGTCATAAGCTAAAATAATATTTTAACTCCATACGGAATCATAACTCGTAGTCGTAAGAAGTAAAAATAGAATAGCAGACAATTTGTTTTTTAATATTCTTAAAAAAACAAATTTGTATATGTATTTGTACTAGTCTACATCGGTTGATAAACATAAATAAACCACCCTGCTGTATGGTGGTGAACTGGAAACTGCGTAAAAATGAGTTTTCTCGGTAATATATGACGTATGCATGATGTGGGATATTATTCCATACATTATATCAAAACTACGTCAAATCACTTATCAAAGTTAATCCTGATCCAACGAACCTAACCAATTAACAAAATCTCCCTTCTGTAACCTTTGTGGGGATGCAGAGGTAAACACGGTTCCCAAACCAACAAAGGCTATTTTAATATTCCCCCTTTCCTCCCCCTGATTGAAAGGACGTGGCCAGCGTCGTTATTGATCTTTAAATATGGAGTCACTGAAACTTGGCCCATTCAGTTGATTCTCAATGTGCAATTTCACTGATTCTGATCAATCACGGAGTAGCAATCATTGATATTTATGTGCAGTCTTTCAAAGCTAAGCTAATCCCGTTCGAAAAAGAGAAATAAACTGCAGGTTGTGCTTGACGGAAATTAGATCTTAACCCTAGTCACTTTAACACATTTCAGGTTATTCATGACTTGTCCTAATGTGGGGATGAGATTCGAACTCATGGCCTTTAGCGTGAGTTACATGGATGCTACCACTACCTACGCCGGCCCTGCCTCAATAAATAATTATTTTCTTTTTTCGTTTGTTCATTGGAATTAACAGCTCATAAAAAGAAAAGGCAAAATAATCGAAAAACAAAAGAAAAGACAAAATATTATACCCGCGCTACTTCATAAGGGGAGATTATGAAAAAGCGGAAATTATGCCAAATGACCCAGTTTTTATGTTATGGCCATCTTGCCCAACTTTCCATTAACTTTTCCTCGTAGTGAATATATAGTGAGTGTCAGCACAATAGAACCAGCTAAAACCAAACTGTCACTAAAACCGTTGTATATCTTTTGTTTACCAATTATATGCAATTTGTAGAGCTTTTAGACAAACTAGTGTCCCATACGAAGTTCTACTAAATTTCACACAATTTGAATGACAAACTTCTGAGATTTGGCTGATTATGTAATATGGTTAATCTTTCACTTAACTAGCTATTTCTCAATATATTTATACCAAAAAATAACCATGCACATAATCTGAAAAAATAACGATTATTAATTAACTAAATTATTTATTTTAAATGAATACACCAAAAATTAACCTATGTTTCATTTATTTAGAATTAATTAGATACTCTTTTTTTAATTTTTTAATATGTTCGACGAACATAAAAGTCTGAATGATCTAAACATTTCAATTGTTTCGATTGATGTAGAAAAGAGATACAATGTGTTCAATAAGCCGTCGCTGGTGGTGTAGCCATCGATATTCAATCAATCAGCAGCCAAAGTTTAAGAAATTTTAATTAATATCTTGAAAAATGACAGCTTTATTTGCCACAGCTGTAAATAAAAGGCAAAGTTACGTAATCTGTAAGATATTGCAGGTAAAGCAATATTGAAAATCGCCACCATGACTGATTTACAAGGTGATGTTTTTCTAATTGTGGTATGCTACAAGGTAAGGTGTATGTTTTATTACCAAGGTCCATAATTTGGAAGATACCTATCGGACAAATTTGATGCAATTTCAATTCCAAATACTTGGCACCCTTTGACTTAAACTTCTTGCAGCTCTTGCATACCACCATAAATAATTAAATATTATGGGGCTTTTACGTTGGTGATTTTTTAAATCTATTTTTGACGCCATTTTACACTAATTTAGGCATAGTTTTTACGTTTCAACATTCAATATATAGATTTATATGTATCAAGTTTTATCGTATACAAATTTCTGTAAGTCATGGCTGCAGAGCAGCTCTCAATGTCTTGTGTTCAGTCCTACCGATAAAATGTTACACAACTAAGTCACCAGCCAGTGAGAAAAAGAGCTCTAGTTGGCGATAGTATGATTTAAGATAAAACAAATTATTTATGTCTATGGCAGCCCCATCTAATTAGACAGATATTCTAAATACAGCTGGTAATAACGTTATAAATTTGTATGCAAAACGTGATATCACTCAGTTATTATTTAATTATGAATTATGAATTTATGAGTGTTATTCAGACTGTTTTAATGTCAACTGTAATTCTCCACATTGCAGGTTCTCTTTCGTTCTGGTGTTTTAAACCAATTGGAGGCAAAGCGTGATGAGCTGTTGTCTGACCGCATCACACAACTTCAAGCTTACTGCCGTGGTTATCTGTCTAGGAAACGGCTAGCTCAAAAGCGAATTCAGGTAATCAATTCATTTTCACAATCGGTTTCTGAATTGAATTTTGTTTTTGTAATTTTGAACGATAAAGATACTCTGTTTCATTTCATTACTTCACACTAAAAAGGTTGTTGTTAGGTGTCTGTCTCGCGGTTCACATATATGTAACGGAATTCAATTTTTTCCTTTATCTCTTCCTTCACGCAGGAACTTGCAGTCAGATGTATTCAACGTAATGTGCGAGCATTCCTAAATGTTCGCGAATGGCCCTGGTGGCGACTGTTAGTGAGGGTTACGCCTCTGTTGAATGTGCATCGCACCGAGGAGCAGTTGAAGATCGCTACCAATGAACTGCAAGTTTTAAAGGCAAAACTAGAGAAGGTAGAAAGTGAGCGCAACAACTTGAAGACAGAAAACTCCAAACTAGAATCAAGGGTAAGTTTTTTTATAATCAACACTAAAATACATAAATAGGGTGAGGTTGAACAAATGTTACTTAAGAGCCAATCATTACAAACATGTGATATTAAGTTATTTTCTAACTAATCATAGCAAATCAGCTCATACAAGTATGATATTTGTTTTTTTCCTCTGTTCGGGACCAGTAATTTGATCTATTGTAGTATATCCCGTGTCCTTAGTTTAGTGCATGTCGTATTACTCCATCACTAGTGAGAAATGATGAAGTATTCAATTTTTTACAGTTGTCATTCTTGCATTTATCGCATATCTAATTGAAATTTCCCGCTATTTATACCCTTCGGAGTGTTGGAACTTGTCAGTCAAAATTGGATTCCTTAGCAACAAAATTAAACAATGACACCGATAATGACCATGCATCAGAACCCTAGTGTTAACCACTTCAAACTAGGGAACAACGAATATAAGATTAGGAATCACATAGATGATGACTAACTAACTCATTTTTGCCTTGTTTCAAGATCATCAAATTCTGTTCCCCTAGTTTGAAGTAGTCAAGACTAGGAATCGGTGGTAGATCTTACATCCCGTAATGTACCACGAAAATGTGATCTACCCACGTTACGAGGCATGATATTTCAGGCATAACATTTGATAACGGCACAAAAGCATTTGTAAACAAACTTTCTAAGGTCTTTTACACGCAAACCAAAGTACGCTCACGCAAACCAATACCACTTTCGGAAAGGTAAGGTGATAGTTGTCCCTTTCCGATGAAGTTGTTGGTTTGCGTGAGTATACTTCGGTTCGCGTTTAAAGTGCATTAAAAAGTTTGTTTACAAAAGCTTTTGTGCCGTTATCAAATTTTACGCCTGATTTGTTATTTCTAGAAGTGATTTACAAACCCTAATTTTTACACACGGTAAAAAAATGTGAAACGACCACGATGATAAATAATGTATGTATGATGGATGATAATTGTTTATTTTTTTATATTAATTTATTGGTACAGGCTCAATCGAATAAACTTTACAGAGCCGAGTTATCATTTGCATTATACATGATTAATGTCTTAAATCTAGAGTTAAAGGAATTGAACCGATTACTCGCGGTCGTCTCGAGGTTAGTGGAGATTTACAATTTTTTGGATGGGGAAAGGGAGAAGGAGGTTTGAAATATGATTTATTATACAAATATTTAATTAATCCTAAAACATGAACTTATTTCTATTCATCTTGAAAACAAACATAAAAAAAAACTACACGCACAATACACAACCCAACAAACATTAAATGTTGAATAAGAGCTTATTCTGGCAAATATTTGCTTCTTCAGCTGAAAAACTGCTTATCCAGCTTTTAATCAGCTCAAATTGTTTGTTGGGAAACTAAACACAAAGTTAATCAAACTTACAATCTAAGGTTTGGGAAGGGAATCGCACAGCTCAGATCTGACTCCACGATGCTCAGCACAAGACCAAAGGATGTGATCGGCGTCTTGGTAACCTTGTCCACATTCACAGAGATTGCTGTCTCCCAGCCCAACACGAAACAAGTGAGCGTTTAACGAATTGTGATTGGACATGAGCCGAGACATCAGACGAATGAAGTCTCGACCCACATCCAACCCCTTGAACCAAGGACTCTTCGACACCTTAGGGATGATCGAGAATAGCCATCGTCCCAAACTCCCTTCACTCCATTTATTTTGCCAGCTGGCGAGCGACTGTTGACGATAAATGAAGAAAAATTCATTGTAGGCGATTTGTCGATCGTAAATATCGCCTTGCATAGCGCCCACCTTAGCAAGTGAGTCCGCCTTCTCATTGCCCGGAATCGAGCAATGAGATGGGACCCATGCAAAGGTGATGACAAAAGATCTTAAAGATAAAGCACTCAGAAGCTCTCGTATTTTCATGAGAAAATACGAGGAGTGCTTTACCGGCCTCATGGAGCGAATAGCCTCGACAGAACTGAGACTATCCGTAAAAATAAAATAGTGATCTGGTGCAAGTGAGGCGATCGTTTCTAGCGTATAGTGTATTGCCGCCAATTCAGCAACATATACGGAACAAGGAGCATGAAGCATTCGGGAGACGCTATGAAATTCGTTATAAATACCAAAACCAGCGGACGCCTCTATTAGTGATCCATCTGTGAAGAACGATCTTGCGGAATCAACTTGGCCAAACTTCGCAGCATAAATTGATGGAACGATGATGTTCCTATGATAATTGTCTACCACTAATTCCGATAGCAGTGGGTGCTCCTTATTGTTTGATTTGATCAAGCTTAATAACCTCTGATTGTCTTCAACATGTCACTGTATGAAGGGCCAAAAACGGGTTTGGTGGATCGATAGGTAAATTCACCTATACGCCTCCACGGGATGGTAGAGAATCTCCTTCCAGCCACAATACAATTGGTCAAGAAACGAGCCGTTCAACAGAAGGATACCCCAATAAGTGTGGAGAAGAGCTCGCCCTTTTTCCACGAGATGTTAACAACAGGGAGTTGACAGTTTCACTCTCCCCATCCAAATCGCTTCAATCGGGTGCCCTGATGGTCCATCCCAATCCCAGCATGCCAGCATTGTTTTGTATATGTGAGTAAATAATAAAAATTAAAACATCAGAAGAGATGTCGCTATCTGTGTTGTTTGTTTTTTTCTACGCTTGTGCTCCCGGTACAGAAATTTGTGGCGTGTGATAGTTTTTGATTTCAGTTTGTTTACGCGTTGTATGATTTTGTTAGCGGTCGCTTCGTGTTCGCGTCATGGAGCAATCGACTACATTCGACCAGAGGATTGATCCCCGTAGGGCGGGTCTATGATCGGAGCTACTACACCAAGCGTGAGATAGCTGCTTGCAAGGGATTCAGTTGGACTGATTTGGTGAACTTCACAAAATAAGGTTTCAATATTTAAATTGAGCAGCTCGACTAGTCTGGTGGCTGCGGCAGCTGGAAGAAAACTCAAATAATTTAAATCAATAGATCCAGTCTGAATGAAGGCTGCAAAAAGCGGCTTTTGCTTACTGAGTAGAAGACCGTGGGGGATCCACATTGTAAAGATTCCCTATTTTCAGCTTTTTTACAGGCTGGAGTTGTTGGGCCGTATGAATAAAAAGAGTTTACTTTACTTTCCCGTGCTTTTCTTACGGGAAAAGTAAAGTAAACGCTTTTATTCATACGACCTGTTGTTTGAACCATTTAGTTTATCAATTTAACTTATCTGTATAACAATTATTGACAAGCATTCTTCCAGGTCAATTCAAGAATAGTTTGATGATGATAATTCTTTCTAATATTCACATTACAGTTATGACCCGATCCTGTCAACCTCTCCGCGCATCAGACTGTTATTTTTCAATAATTCCACATAATTGTAATTTCATACCTTCCTCCTTCAAGATGAATGTTTAAGATACACATACTTTGCTAGCTGACAAAATGGGGCCATTGCTGTATAATTATTCTCTTTTTGCAGCCTTTATTCAGACTGGATCTATTGATTTAAATTATTTGAGTTTTCTTCCAGCTCTTTGATGACGGAACATCATTAGATTTATACTGTAATGATTCACTCTTACAGCTTTCACCCTAGTTTTGTCTGTTGATTTGACTCATGCTCTAAGTTTATTTTCAGCATTTCGATGATGGAACGTCTTCAGATTTATATTATAATGGGGCTTATTACGGGTGTCACATCACGGTGAAAAGTTGTCACTTGTCGTCACGGTGAAGTGATTCCCATTTGATTTGTACGGTAATCACGGCTCTTATTCTGAGTATAACTTGCTTATCACCGTGTAGTGACACCCGAAATAAGCCCCAAGGATACACCATTTAGTTTTGGCTTCGGGCAAATCCAAGTATAAAGGGTGATACGGTCAAAATTTGGTCAATATCAACTTGACGTATTTCTTTCAATTTTGCATTTAAAAAACCTGAACACCCCTCATTTTGAAGGTGTGTGTGTGTAGAATGTTGCTCCTATTTTGATTTTGGAATTCACTCTTCAGTTGTCAAAATGCCGTCCAAGCAAGAAGAGCAGCGTATCAAAATTTTGCTCGCGCATCGCGAAAATCCGAGCTACTCGCACGCAAAGTTGGCAAAATCGCTAAAAGTTGCCAAATCAACCGTTACAAATGTAATTAAAGTGTTTGGGGAACGTTTGTCGACAGCCAGGAAGTCTGGATCGGGGGGAAATCGAAAACCGGAAGCCGCTGAGACGACAAAGAGAGTTGCCGGTAGTTTCAAGCGAAACCCTAACCTCTCTCTCCGAGATGCCGCAAATAAGCTGGGTGTATCGTCTACAACCGTGCATCGAGCCAAAAAACGAGCCGGACTATCGACTTACAAGAAGGTAGTGACTCCAAATCGCGATGATAAACAAAATACGACGGCCAAAGCGCGATCCCGGAGGCTGTACACGACGATGCTGACGAAGTTTGACTGCGTGGTAATGGACGACGAAACCTACGTCAAAGCCGACTACAAGCAGCTTCCGGGACAGGAGTTTTATACGGCAAAAGGAAGGGGAAAGGTAGCAGATGTTTTCAAGCACATGAAACTGTCAAAGTTCGCAAAGAAATATCTGGTTTGGCAAGCCATCTGTACCTGTGGCTTGAAAAGCAGCATTTTCATAGCTTCCGGGACTGTCAACCAAGAAATTTACGTGAAAGAGTGTTTGAATAAACGTCTGCTGCCTTTCCTGAAGAAACACGGTTGTTCCGTACTGTTTTGGCCGGATTTGGCATCTTGCCATTACGGTAAAAAGGCCATGGAGTGGTACGCCGCCAACAACGTGCAGGTGGTTCCCAAGGACAAGAACCCTCCCAACACGCCAGAGCTCCGCCCAATTGAGAAATACTGGGCTATTGTCAAGCGGAACCTAAAGAAGACCAAAAAAACTGCTAAGGGCGAGCAGCAGTTCAAGGCAAACTGGCTTTCTGCGGCGAAGAAGGTGGACAAGGTGGCTGTACAAAATCTGATGGCAGGGGTCAACCGTAAGGC